CGAGCTACACTCTCTTGACTTCAGCACCGCTTTCCTGCAGGGCAGCCTACACGAGGAGATCTGGCTGCGCCGCCCACCAGGCTTCACTGGGACTTTTCCTCCTGGCACCCAGTGGAGCCTCCGGCGGCGAGTCTACGGTCTTCGCCAGGCACCGCGTCAGTGGTTCGACACACTGAGGACTACACTTGCGGCTCTTGGGTTTGCTCCCTCTACTGCCGACCCGTCGCTGTTTGTGCGCACCGACACTTCTCTGCCACCGTTCTACATCCTCGTGTACGTCGACGACTTGGTCTTTGCCACTGCTGACACTGCTGGACTCGCCCACGTGAAGTCCGAGCTGTAGAAGAGACACACGTGCACTGACCTGGGTGAACTGCGCAGCTACCTTGGCTTGCAGATCACCCGGGACAGAGCACGCCGCACCATTACCCTGACTCAGTCACACATGGTGCAGCAGGTCCTTCAGCGCTTCGGCTTCACGTACTCCTCGCCTCAGGCCACTCCTCTGCCTACTCGCCACTCGCTCTCAGCTCTGCCTTCAGATGAGTCCGTAGAGTCGAGTGGCCCGTACCCAGAGCTTGTTGGCTGCCTCATGTACCTGATGACCTGCATACGACCTGAACTTGCATACCCTCTTAGCATTCTCGCACGCTATGTTGCTCCTGGGAGACACAGACCAGAGCACATGGCTGCAGCGAAGAGGGTGTTGCGCTACTTGTGCAGTACGTCGGGCATGGGGCTTGTGCTTGGAGGGCAGAGTCCAGTGGTCCTCACTGGGCACGCAGACGCTTCTTGGGCTGACGACCAGGCTACCCAGCGGTCGTCACAGGGTTACACCTTCAGCCTTGGTTCCGGCTTTGTTTCGTGGCGGGCTACTCGCTCGTCTTCTGTTCTCGGCTCCAGTTGTGAGGCTGAGATCTACGCAGGAGCCATGGCTGCACAGGAGCTTTGCTGGCTCACCTACCTGCTGACTAACCTCGGAGACCCACCTCGTTCTCCTCCAGTGCTGTACGTAGACAACAAGGCCATGCTGGCCTTGTGTTGGGAGCGGCGACTGGAGCACAGAACGAAGCACATTGCTCTCCGCTACTTTCTTGCTCGTGAGCTGCAGCAGCGTGGTCAGCTGCGCCTTGCGTACGTGGCCTCTGAGGCCAACACTGCTGATATCTTCACCTAGGCGCTTGCGCCTTGTGATCATCAGCGCTTCTGTACTCAGCTGGGTCTTGTGCCTGCCTTGCCTCACTTGCTCACCTCTTGACCTTGTTTGTACTGTTACATATATATATACACCTGCTCTTGCTTGTCTAGCCTTTTATATATATATGTACTCCTGCATGTGAACTGGCCTTGTGGCCTTGAACTTGTGCTCGGAATGTGTGGTGACTTTGTGATCCACCCTGAGCTTGCTTTGCTTTGCTTGACTGGTCTTGTGACCCCTTGTTCTCCCCCACTTTGCCTATGGGGGTGTGTCAGAACATCATAACTTATGCTTTTGTGTAGGCTATAGTGGGGTAGCCCATAAGGGGTACAACCCAATTAGGGTTAGTACTTGTACCCAACTCTTTCATAGTTCATTCATTCTCGTTCATTCTCACAGGCAGAAGGCTTCGTTCATGGTCATTTGAAAAGTGGCGGGGGCGTTGGTCAGTCCGAAAGGCATGACGGTGTATTCAAAGGATCCGTAGCGTGTTCGGAAGGCTGTCTTAGGGCACTCGGGTGGGTTGACGCGAATCTGGTGGTCACCTTCTCGAAGGTCGATTTTCAAAAAAACCCGGGCTGTGCGCAGTTGGTCAATCAGTTCATCGGCTCGCGGGATGGGGTAACGAGATTTGATGGTAACCATGTTCAGTGCTCTAAAATCTATGCACATGCGAAATCCCCCGTCTTTTTTCGGCGTGAACAGTATCGGTGCTGCGAAGGGCGACGAACTAGGGCGAATGAACTACTTCTCTAGGAGGTAATCCTGCTGCTTCCTCAGTTCGTCCAGTTTGGGTTGGGTCAGTCGGAACTGTCGCTGTACTGTCGGCTGTGCCCCCGGTTCTAGCTCTATCCTGTGGTCATGCGGTCGCTGAGGTGGCAGTCCCGTCGGTAGGTCGTCCGGGAAAATGTCACTGTACTGCTTCAACAGTGCTGCCAGATCACTCGGTACGTCAGCTAGTAGTTTCTGTAAATCCCCTCCTTTGTCTGATGCCTCGGCTTCCCGAATGTCAACCGCGTACACGTCAGCTCCTGCCGCTACGGCGCGTTTCATCGTGATCGCGTTGAAACGCACCGACGAAGACTCACGCGAGCCCCAGCGGGGTAAGGCAATGTTGTTACCGTTCACTCGCACAGCGCAGTCACCCGTCGTCCAGTCGATTCGTGGATTGTGTCGTCGCAGCCAATCACGCCCGAGTAAAATATCGATTCCGTCGAGGGTCGTTGCGAGCATTTCTTGGCTAAACGTGAAGTTACCCCCACATCGAATCCGAACTTGGTCCACGCGTTCCCGTATTGCCAGTGGTGTGCCGTTGACCAGTCTTGCGTCGATCTCAGGTAAGCATCTGTCCAGTGGTAGTCGCAGTTTTTGTGCTGTAGCACTGTTGATGAGGCTGTGGCTGGCTCCCCCGTCTACGAATATTTTTACTAAGTCAGTCCCAATTTTCCCACTAAGAAGTATAGGGCTGTCTACCGTAGTACCCTCCTTATTCGGTCGGGTGTGGTCGATTGCGTGAACCGGCACAATCACTCGATAAGGGTCGGGTGAGCGGCGTGACCTGTCAGTAGAGGGCCCGTCTGCTACTGACTCCCAGCGTTTCCCTGCTGCTAGGTCTGTTTCTGCTGCTCAGCTTCCCCCTTTCCCTTATCATTTTCCGGGCATTCACTCTTACGGTGTCCTGGCCGATTGCACGCAAAGCAGCGCCCTTTGAACGGTGCGGCAGCGGCATTTGCGGCGACGGCACGTATCGTAGCGCCCTCGTTCGTCCCACGAGGCCGATGTCCCCAATTGCTGCTTCCGTAGGACCCCGGTCTCGGTCGGCGGAAGAAATCGAGTTTCTCCGCCATGGCGAGAATCTCCTGAAAATCGGTGACGCCGCGAAGCTGGATTTCCTGAGCGATGTCCTGCTTCAGGCCGCCGATGTAGCGGTCGATGCGTTCGCTCTCATGCATGTATCCCACCTGCTCGCATAGCGCCACAAACCCGCTCGTGTAGTCTTGGACAGAACCGAGTTGGCGCCAAGTGCGGAGCCTCTGTCGCGCCGCGATTGAAGCCGCAATCGGCTCGAAACGAGCGCGCAGACCTGCGCACCACGCGTCCCACGTGCGATACTAGGGCACCTCCACGAAATACGACGACGCCCAGGGTCCGGTTTGTCCTTCCCGTGTCGGTAGAGTCGCGTAGTCCACCGGCTTCGTGACGATGACACGCCACCAGTCCATGGCGGGTCCTCGCAGCAACGACACGGCTTATCGGATCTTCGCCGTATCCTCCGAGACGTAGTTTGCGTCGAGGAAAAAGTTCAACGTGAAGAGCCACGCCTGAACGGTAGGACCACCCCGCTGACTTGGATCGAAACATGGCGGGCGCTGCGGCTTCAGCGGCATCGGCGACGGTAGGGTTGATTCGCCGGCCGGCACGGAGATCGTGACTCGAGGTTGATTCCGGGCCGCATTCCTCGCGTCGAGGTGTGTCGTGCCGTGGTCGTCGTCTCCGTCATGGCGGACAACGCCATCACTTGCGGCGCTCGCGGGTTGCCCCACACTTCTATGTTGCGATGCCTGTAGTGCGGGCTGAATCGGAGTGTCAGGTGCTTGGGATTGTGCTCGTGCGAGGTCGTTTTGCAGGGACGTGCGTTCTCCCGTCAGCGCCGCGATTTCCTCAGAGCTTTCGCGGATTTGCCGCATCAGTTCGTTCAAGTGCTCTTGCGTGAGAGTTGTCAGAACATTATAGCTTACTTATTTGTGTAGGCTATAGTGGGGTATCCCATAGGGGGTACAACCCAATTAGGGTTTCATATTTGTACTCACTTCATTCATAGTTCATCCATTCTCGTTCGCTTCTTCTCATGGAATCAGAGCAGGTTCCCCTGTGGGAACTGTGCTTAGGGCCCACCACTTAGATTTTTTTTTTCCTGCCCTAGCGCCTTGCGCCCTAGCGCCTACCCTAGCGCCCGCCCTAGCGCCCTAGCGCCCGCCCTAGCGGCCGCCTTAGCGCCCGCCCTAGCGCCTGCCCTAGCGCCCTAGCGCCTGGCGCCCGCCCTAGCGCCCGTTCGCCGCCCGCGGCCTGTCCGTGCGCTGCCGCCCGTGCGCCGCCGCCCGTGAGCGCCGCCCGTGAGCGCCGCCCGTGAGCACCGCCCGTGAGCGCCGCCCGTCAGCGCAGCCGCCCGTCAACCGCCGCTGGTGCGCCGCCGCCCGTGACGCCGCCGCCCGTGAGCCGCCGCCCGTGAGCCGCCGCCCGTGAGCCGCTCGCCCGTGAGCCGCCCGCCCGTGAGCCGCCCGCCCGTGAGCCGCCCACGACGCCGACGCCGCCGACGCCGCCGACGCCGCCCGTGCACCTCCGTCGCCGCCGACGTCACCCGTGAGCCGCCGACGCCGCCCGTGAGCCGCTGACGCCGCCGTCGCCGCCGACGCCGCCCGTGAGCAGCCGACGCCACCCTCGAGCCGCCCGTGCAGCCGCCCCAGCCGCCCGTAAGCCGCCCGTGCGCCGCCCGCGAGCCGCCCCAGCCGCCCGTGAGCCACCCGCGAGCCGCCCCAGCCGCCCGTGCTGTCGCCCGCAAGACGCCCGCGCCGCGCGAGCCGCCCGAGCCGCCCAAGCCGCCCGAGCCGCCCGAGCCGCCCGAGCCGCCCGAGCCGCCCGAGTCGCCCGAGCCGCCCGAGCCGCCCGAGCAGCCTGAGGTGTCGGCCTCCTGTTCCTGTGGGGCTGCTGCTGCTCCTGGGCCGCCGTAGCTGCTGTGCTGCTGTGTGGCTGTACTCCTGAGCTACCCGACTCTTCCCTCCCAGTGAGACTGTCAGCTACTATAATGGCCACCCCCAGTGTCCTGTCTTTTGACGCTGAGGGTCTCGCCATTGACTTTGCAGTCTGGGTCGAGGACCTGCAGCTGTACTTACTGTGCGATGCGATCGATGAGGTTTCTCTCTTTGACTTTGTCTCTGGCGCTGTCCCTACCCCTCCTGCTGATGCTGACCCCTCTGTTCGCTCCAAGTGGGCCACGCGCGATGCTGCTGCACGTCTTGTTGTGCGTCGCCACCTCCCTTCCTCCGAGCGTGCACACTTTAGTCAGTGCAAGACCGCTCAGGCCTTGTACGACGCTGCAGTTGCGCGCTAATCCTCCCCTTCCTCCGCTACGCTGAGCCGCCTCATGCTACCGTTCCTCTTCCCTGACCTCGCTGCCTTTCCCACAGTCGCTGACCTCTTTACCCACCTCCGCGCTAGTGACACTCGCTACCGCGCTGCGCTTCCTGCTGAGTTCCGCGCCGCAAACCCTCCTCCCATGTACATCACTCTCTACTTTCTAGTCACCCGTCTCCCTGAGTCCCTTCGTGCCGTTAGGGACCAGTTTCTCTCTGTCTGTCCCACCACCCTCACTGTCGACCTCCTTGAGAAGTCCCTGCTAGCGGCTGAGAAGAGTATCGTCGCTGTAGGGGCCTCTCGTGGTGACCCTCGCACCCCCATCTTTGAGGGGTGTTCTCCTTCCCCCCTACTTCCCTCTGTCGCCTCTGCTGCTGTGGGCGACCTCGTTGGTTTGGAGTCGGTCGGTGCGGCGTCTGCCCCCAGCGGTAGGCGCCGCCCTGGCAGGGGCAAGGGGGGCAAGGGAGCGGGTGGAGCTAGCGGGGGCGGTGGCGGAGGCGGTGGAGGCGGCGGAGGGAGTGGGGGTGGCAGTGGAGGTGGTGGCGGGAGTGGAGGTACTAGTGGCGGCGGTGGAGGCGGAGGTGGTGGTGGTGGTGGTGGCGGTGGGAGCGGCGGGGGCGAGGGTGGCAGTGGCGGCGGTGGCGGCGGAGGCGGGGGTGGCGGTGGTGGAGGTGGTCGAAGTGGCTCGTCCCAGCGGAGCACCACTGGAGGTAGTCAGCGCCAGCAGCAGCAGCAGCAGCGCTCTCGCGACGTCCCCACCCCTCAGCAGCTCCGTGAGTGGTACTCCCAGCGTCAGCGTGGTGGGGCGTTCGGTCCCTGCACCTACGTCCTTCGCACCGGCGACCGTGCGGGTGAGCAGTGTGGGGGCACCCACACCGCCCGCCGCTGCTTTGCTCGCTTGACCGACGCTTGGTGCCAGCAGTTTCCGGAGGCCTCTGAGATCCCCCGCTGGGGAGAGCTGTCTAGGGCTGGTGTAGCTATCTTTGATCTTGACTTTGATGCTATTCTTGCTGCCATGTATGCTGTGTCTGGTAGTGATGAGGGTGACTGTTACCGGTGTTTCCCGCCCGATCCGGGCATTGAGTCTGCTGCTCTAGGTACTGGTGCGGCTGCTGCCCTAGGTGCTTGCGACGCTGCTGCTCTAGGTGCTAGTGTGTCTGCGTCCTCAGGTACTGGTGAGTCTGCGCTCTCAGGTACTACGTCGGCTTCGGCCTCCCTCACCTTCACCCTTGACTTTCGGGCGTCTAGCTCCTTCTTTCGGGACCGCACCACTCTCACGCCGCTTAGTCGGCCGGTTGCGGTGTCCCTGGCTGACCCCTCTGGAGGTCTTGTCCTGTCTCGTTTCTCCACAGTCCTCCCGTGTCCGGCGGCTCCCTCTGGCACCCTGACTGGTCTCTACCTCCCCTCGTTCTCTACGAACCTGGTGAGTGGTGCTGACCTACAGGATGGGGGTGTCCACCAGTTCACTCCTGCTCGTCAGCGGGTGACACACTGCACAGAGGCTAGCACAGGTCGCCACCTAGCTACGTTTACACGTCGGCCAAGGTCGAGCCTGTACACACTGACCACTGCTTCTCCTCCTGGTGCTGAGTCTGGTAGAGTCCCTTCGTCTGGTCAGGTGTTTGCTGCAGCGTCCAGGTCTGGTCCTGAGTCTGCCCCCTGTTCGTGTCGCCGTCTGTCTCACGAGACTCTCCTCTGGCACCACCGCCTTGGCCACCCCTCTCTGCTTCGGCTCAGAGGCATGGCCTCCCGTCTTCTTACGTCTGGTCTCCCCCGGTCCCTCCCTCCCCTTCCTCAGGGCCCTGGCCCTGCCAGTGTCCCCTGCGTCGAGGGGCGCCAGCGTGCTGCCCCTCACTCCTCCCAGTTTCCTCCGACAGAGGCTCCGTTGCAGACGCTTCACATGGACGTGTGGGGCCCTGCCCGCGTCCGTGGACTCGGTCACGAGTGCTACTTCCTGTTGTTGGTTGACGACTTCTCGCGTTACACCACAGTCTTCCCCTTGCGCAGCAAGGGAGATGTCACTGAGGTGTTGATCGACTGGATCCGCGCAGCTCGTCTCCAGCTCAGGCAGAGCTTTGGGTCGGACTTTCCTGTGTTGCGTCTGCACTCGGACAGAGGCGGAGAGTTCTTCTCTGGCCTTCTGCGTGCCTTCTGTCGTGCGCGAGGCATCCGCCAGACCTTCACGCTTCCGGACTCACCGCAGCAAAATGGGATTGCAGAGCGCCGCATTGGCATGGTCATGGACGTCGCTCGTACGTCTATGATGCATGCGGCTGCCCCCCATTTTCTGTGGCCGTTTGCGGTCAGGTACGCGGCGCATCAGATCAACCTCCACCCCAGGGTCTCCAGGCCGGAGACCTCCCCAGCCCTTCTGTGGACGGGGAAGGTTGGCGATGCGTCGGCGTTCCGGGTCTGGGGATCTCGGGCGTTTGTCCGCGACTTGTCTGCGGACAAGCTGTCCCCTCGCGCTGCTCCCTGCGTCTTCCTGGGGTTCCCCCCCGACGCCCCTGGGTGGCAGTTCTACCACCCCACCTCTCGACGTGTTCTGTCCTCCCAGGACGTCATGTTCGACAAGTCGGTACCCTACTACCGCCTCTTCCCCTACCGCACTCCGTCCCTCCCCCCGCCCCCGCTCTTCTTGGTACCAGGTCCCCCCCCGGTAGACCCCCTCCCCCCTCAGGGTCCTGCCCCTTCAGGTGTGTCCCAAGTAGACGCGGTCGAGCCTGTCGAGGTCACTGGTGACTCTGGTGCTGCTGCGGGAGCTGAGCCTGGGGGTGCTGAGACTGGAGGTGCTACGCCTGCGGGTACTGAGCCTGGGGATGCGGAGTCTGGAGGTGCTGAGCCTGGGGGTGCTGAGCCTAGGGGTGCTGAGCCTGGGGGTGCTGAGCCTGGAGGTGCTGAGCCTAGGGGTGCTGTGCGTGGGGGTACTGAGCCTGGGGGTACTGAGCCTGGGAGTGCTGAGCCTGGAGGTGCTGAGACTGGGGGTGCTCCGCCTGGAGGTGCTACGTCTCGCCGAGAGCCACTCTCCCCTCAGGAGCTACGTGAGTGGTTTGCTAGGCGCTGGAGGCGTGCTGCTGGTGCTGGAGGTTCTTCGACTGCAGAGGGTACTGCTGCCGAGCGTCCCGGCGGTGCTCGTACTGTGGGTGCTGGAGCTGCTGGGTCTGAGGGTTCTCCTGGAGCTGGTGCTGCTGAGGGTGTTGACGCTGAGACTGCCGCTGGAGGTCCGACTGGTGGTGCTCCTGGTGGTGCTGCTGGAGGTTCTGGAGCTACTGGAGGTGCTGCTAGAGCGGGTACTCCTTCTGGGGGTACTGGTGCTGTCCCTGCTGTTTCTGGCGTCGCCGCGCGGCCCTGGCCGTACTTCGTTCCGCTCCTGCAGCAGGTTCTTGGTCTTACACCTTCTCCTAGTCCTCCTCCTCCTCCCTTAGAGGGTCCACAGCCTGTCTCGTCACAGTCATAGCTACAGCCTACCTCACCTTTGCCTGCTCCTTCTCCCTACGCTGGTCCGACTGGAGGTCTTACTGAGCGTCGTGAGCCTGCGTCTCGTCCTGCGTCGCCTGTTCGTACTGCGCGCACTAGTGGTCGTGGTTCGCGTCAGCGTCCTCCTCCTGTCCCTGGCACGCACCGGATGTCTCTGCGTCCGTCTACTGCTCCTCTGCGTGCCCCTTTGCCTTCTCCTCCTGCTTCCTCTCTTCCTGCTCTTGCCGACCCGGAGTCGGACTCTCTTCGTGCTGCCAGTCCTACTGTCACGCGTCTTCTTGCTACTGCTGTCACTGACCCTTCTTTCGAGTCTTCTGCTGCGTCTGCCCTTGTCACTAAGCTCGTCGAATTTGCTGCGCGCTGTCGTCTAGACTACGCTGCTAGTCTTGTCGCTGAGTCTGAGTCTGCCTGTCCTCCGTCCGTCGGGGGTGAGTGTGCCCTTGGCACGGACGTCCTTGAGGACAGGCAGGAGGAGTTCCAGTGTTTGGCCGCCGCTTCACCTCATCTTGCGTCTGTACTGCTAGCCCCTGAGGGAGACCCAGATGCACTAGACATCCCGACTCCGCGCTCTTACGCGGAGGCGATAGAGGGTCCCTACTCCTCTCAGTGGCAGGCAGCTATGGATGCAGAGATGGCTTCCTGGAAGTCCACAGGCACCTACGTCGACGCTGTTCCCCCTCCTGGGGCGAACATCGTCAGTGGCATGTGGATTTTTCAGGGTGAAGCGGCCGCCGGGCTCCCCGCCTGTCTTCAAGGCGCGTTACGTGGCTCGTGGCTTCAGTCAGCGGCAGGGAGTTGACTACTTTCAGACCTTCTCCCCCACCCCGAAGATGACCACTCTTCGGGTACTGCTGCACGTTGCTGCTCACCGTGACTACGAGCTGCACTCTCTCGACTTCAGCACAGCTTTCTTGCAGGGCAGCCTGCACGAGGAGATCTGGCTGCATCGCCCACCTGGCTTCACTGGGTCTTTCCCTCCTGGTACCCAGTGGAGTCTCCGGCGTCCAGTCTACGGTCTCCGCCAGGCGCCACGTGAGTGGCACGACACACTGAGGACTACGCTTGCGGCACTTGGGTTTGCTCCTTCTACTGCCGACCCGTCGCTGTTTCTGCGCACCGACACCTCTCTACCGCCGTTCTACATCCTCGTGTACGTCGACGACTTGGTCTTTGCCACAGCGAACACTGCTGGACTCGCTTACGTGAAGTCCGAACTGCAGAAGAGACACACGTGCACTGACCTGGGTGAACTGCGCAGCTACCTTGGCTTGCAGATCACCCGGGACAGAGCACGCCGCACCATTACCCTGACTCAGTCACACATGGTGCAGCAGGTCCTTCAGCGCTTCGGCTTCACGTACTCCTCGCCTCAGGCCACTCCTCTGCCTACTCGCCACTCGCTCTCAGCTCTGCCTTCGGATGAGTCCGTAGAGTCGAGTGGCCCGTATGCAGAGCTTGTTGGCTGCCTCATGTACCTGATGACCTGCACACGACCTGACCTTGCATACCCTCTCAGCATTCTCGCACGCTATGTTGCTCCTGGGAGATACCGACCAGAGCACATGGCTGCAGCGAAGAGGGTGTTGCGCTACTTGTGCAGTACGTCGGGCATGGGGCTAGTGCTTGGAGGGCGCAGTCCAGTGGTCCTCACTGGGCACGCGGACGCTTCTTGGGCTGACGACCAGGCTACGCAGCGGTCGTCACAGGGTTACACCTTCGGCCTTGGTTCCGGCTCTGTTTCGTGGCGGGCTACTCGCTTGTCTTCTGTTCTCGGCTCCAGTTGTGAGGCTGAGATCTACGCCGGGGCTATGGCTGCTCAGGAGCTTCGCTGGCTCACCTACCTGCTGACCGACCTTGGAGAGCCGCCTCGTTCTCCTCCAGTCCTGTACGTAGACAACAAGGCCATGCTGGCCTTGTGTCGAGAGCAGCGACTGGAGCACAGGACAAAGCACATTGCTCTCCGCTACTTACTTGCTCGTGAGCTACATCAGCGTGGACAGTTGCGACTTGCGTACGTGGTCTCTGAGGCCAACACTGCTGATGTCTTCACCAAGGCACTTGCGCCTTGTGATCATCAGCGCTGCTGCACGCAGCTGGGTCTTGTGCCTGTCTTGCCTCACTTGCTCACTTCTTGACCTTGCTTGTACCTTGACCTATATATACTCTTGCTCTTGCTTGCCTGACTCTTGTATACCTCTATATATGATCTTGCATGCGAACTGGCCTTGTGGCCCTTGACCTTGCGCTCGGATTGTGTGGTGACTTTGTGATCCACCCTGAGCTTTGTTTTGCTTTGCTTGACTGGTCTTGTGACCCCTTGTTCTCCCCCACTTTGCCTATGGGGGTGTGTCAGAACATTATAGCTTACTTATTTGTGTAGGCTATAGTGGGGTATCCCATAGGGGGTACAACCCAATTAGGGTTTCATATTTGTACTCACTTCATTCATAGTTCATCCATTCTCGTTTGCTTCTTCTCAAGAGTTGTGACAGCGATATGCTCAGCCATGTCGAAGGGCATCGGCTCGTCTTAGTCTAGGCGCAGTCGTGGCTGCACACGTATACGACAGAACGCGAGGAGAGCGGCTCCTAGGTGCTAAGGTACGTGACTCCCTTCGAGTGAAAAAATCAAAAGTTGATTTTCTGGGGTGCGGAGATGCGCGGTCCGAAAAGAAAGAGGCTCTGAATACCAAGTGTTACGGGTGCAATGAATCGAAGTAGCGAGAATTGCACTAAGGTGTCAAACGAGTACAAAATGTGAGCGAAGGCATGAGCGAACATTTATACGCGAAACATGCAAACGGTAACGCGGTTGTCAAATCATAATGTTCTGTAGGCTGTAGTGGGGTAGCCTATATGGGGTACACATTTCTAGGGTTGCATATTTGTACCACATACCATTCCTTAGTGCACTCATTCTCGAATCAATTTTCACATGGTATCGAGCAGGTTCCCTCGTGGGAACTGTGCCTAGGGCCCACCAAGTCGAAAGTTTTTTTTCCTGCCCGGAGCGCGCTCAGCCCGAGTCGCGCTCCCTTCTTTGACTTCGTCGAGCCGCCCTAGCGGCCAAGTCGCGCCGCCCTAGCAGCCCCTGATTCGTCGCCCTAGCGACGCCGTCGCCCTACCTACGGCCCCGGCCCCGTCGCCCTACCTGCGCCCCGGCCCCGTCGCCCTACCTGCGCCCCGGCCCCGTCGCCCTACCTGCGCCCCAGCCCCGTCGCCCTGCCTGCGCCCCCGGCCCCGTCGCCCTACCTGCGCCCCGGCCCCGTCGCCCTACCTGCGACCCCGGCCCCGTCGCCCCCCTTGCGACCCTGGCCCCGTCGCCATACCTGCGGCCCCGGCCCTAGCCCCGTCGCCCTACCTGCGCCCCGGCCCCGGCCCCGTCGCCCTGCTTGCAACCCCGGCCCTGTCGCCCCACCTCCGACCCCGGCCCCGTCGCCCTACCTGCGCCCCGGCCCCGGCCCCGTCACCCTACCTGCGTACCGGCCCCGTAGCCCTACCTTCGACCCGGCCCCGTCGCCCTACCTACGGCCCCCCCCGCCGCCCTACCTGCGGCCAAGCCGCCCTACCTGCGGCCCCGCCGCCCTACCTGCGGCCCAGCCGCCCTACCTTCGGCCCTGCCGCCCTACCTGCGGCCCTGCCGCCCTAACTGCGGCCCCGCCGCCCTACGTGCGGCCCCGCCGCCCCACCTGCGGCCCCGCCGCCCTACCAACGGCCCCGCCGCCCTACCTGCGGCCCCGGCGCACTACCTGCGTTCCCGGCCTCGTCCCCTACCGCCCAAACCGCCTACGCAGCCGAGCCGCCCGCGCCGCTAAGCAGCCTGAACCGCCCGAGCCGCCCGAGCCGCCCGAGCCGCGTGAGCAGCTGAGGAGCCGAGCCGCGAGTGCCGCCGAGCCGCAGTTGCTGCCGAGCCGCCCGAGCTACCCGAACCGCCCTGTCTGGTGAGCGCAGCGCCTCTGTCACTGCACTGCCCCTGCTCTACAGTTAGCACTGCTATTCTACTGCTGTCATGGCTACCCCCAGTGTTCTCACTTTTGACGCTGAGGGTCGGGCCATTGACTTTGACGTCTGGGTTGATGACCTGCAGCTTTTCCTACAGTGCGATAGGGCAGACGGTCTCTCCCTCTTTGACCTCACCTCTAGTGCTTCCCCTGCCCTTGCTGCCGATGCCGACGCCACTGTTCGCTCACAGTGGGCCACTCGTGATGCTGCTGCACGTCTTGCTGTGCGTTGCCACCTGCCTACCACTGAGCGCGCGCACTTTAGTCAGTACAAGAGTGCTCAGACCTTGTACGACGCTGTAGTTGCGCGCTACTCTTCCCCTGCCACTGCTGCACTGAGCCGCCTCATGCTACCGTACCTCTTTCCTGACCTTGCTGCCTTTCCCACAGTTGCTGACCTCATTACGCACCTCCGCACTAGTGACACTCGCTACCGCGCTGCGCTTCCTGCTGAGTTTTGCGCCAAGAACCCCCCCCCGATATACATCACTCTCTACTACATAGTCACCCGCCTCCCTGACTCCCTTCGTGTAGTCAGAGACCACTTCCTCTCAGTCTGTCCCACCACTCTCACTGCTGACCTCCTCGAGAAGGCCCTCTTAGCAGCGGAGAAGAGCATAGTCGCTGTAGGAGTCTCTCGTGGTGAACCTCGCATCCCCATCTTTGAGGGATGTTCCCCCTTCCCCCTTTTGCCCTCTGTCGCCTCTGCTGCTGCGATCGACCTCGTTGGTCTTGAGTCGGTCGGTGCGGCGTCTACCCCCAGCCGGAGACGCCGCTCTGGCAAGGGCAAGGGGGGCAGGGGCGCTGGAGGAGCTAGCGGGGGCGGTGGAGGCGGCGGTGGAGGCGGCGGAGGGAGTGGGGGTGGCGGTGGGAGTGGTGGCGGGGGTGGAGGTGTTGGTGGCGGCAGTTGAGGCGGAGGCGGCGGAGGCGATAGCAGTGGGAGCGGAGGCGGCAGTGGTGGCGGAGGTGGAGGAGGCGGTGGTGGAGGAGGTGGAGCTGGTCGGGGTGGCGCTACGCAGCGGGGCGGCTCCGGTGGTGGCCAACGCCAGCAGCAGCAGCAGCAGCAGCGTTCTCGGGACATCCCCCCCCCTCAGCAGCTCCGTGAGTGGTACGCTGCACGTAAGCGTGGTGGGGGTACCGGTCCGTGCACCTACGTTCTCAGCGCCGGCGACCGCGCGGGTGAGTAGTGTGGGGGTGCACACCCCACCCAGCGCTGCTTTGGCCGCCTGACGGACGTTTGGCGTCACCAGTTCCCGGAGGCCACTGAGATCCCCCGCTGGGGTGAGCTGTCTAGGGCGGGTGTAGCTATCTTTGATCTTGACTTTGATGCTATTCTTGCTGCCATGTATGCTGTGACTATTAGTGATGAGGGTGACTGTTACCGGTGTTTCCCGCCCGACCCGAGCATTGAGACTGCTGCTCTAGGTACTGGTGAGGCTGCTGCTCTAGGTGCCAGTGAGGCTGCTGCTCTAGGTGCCAGTGCGTCCGCACCCTCAGGTGCTGGTGAGTCTGTGCTCTCAGGTACCGCGTCGGCTTCGGCCTCCCTCACCTTCACACTTGACTCAGGGGCTTCTCGCTCCTTCTTTCGAGACCGCACCACACTCACGCCGCTTGGTCAGCCAGTTGCAGTCTCCCTGAGAGACCCCTCTGGGGGTCCTATCCTTGCTCACTTCTCCACTGTCCTCCCGTGTCCGGCGGCCCCCTCTGGCACCTTGTCTGGTCTTTACCTCCCCTCGTTCTCTACGAATCTAGTGAGTGGTGCTGACCTACAGGATGCGGGGGTTCACCAGTTTACTCCTGCGAGTCAGCGGGTGACCCACTGCTCGGACGCTCGCATAGGCCAGCACCTGGCCACGTTTACGCGTCGGCCGGGGTCGAGCCTGTACACCCTGACCACTGAGTCTCCTCCTGTCCCTGCGTCTGGTCAGGTAGCTGCGTCGGGTCATGTGTTTGCTGCAGCGTCTGGGTCTAGTCCTGAGTCTGCCCCCTGCTCGTGTCGCCTCCTGTCTCACGAGACTCTCCTTTGGCACCACCGCCTTGGTCACCCCTCCCTGCCTCGTCTCCGAGGCATGGCCTCTCGTGTCCTTGTCTTTGGTCTTCCCCGGTCCCTCCCTCCCTTTCCTCCGGGGCCTGGCCCTACCAGCGTCCCCTGTGTCGACGGGCGGCTGCGGGCTGCCCCTCACTCCTCTCAGTTTCCCCCGACAGAGGCCCCGCTGAAGACGCTTCACATGGACGTGTGGGGCCCGGCCCACGTCCGTGGACAGGGTCACGAGCGCTACTTCGTGCTGGTGGTTGACGACTACTCGCGTTACACCACAGTCTTCCCCTTGCGTATTAAGGGTGAAGTCACTGAGGTGTTGATCGTCTGGATCCGCGCAGCTCGTCTCCAGCTCAGGAGGAGCTTCGGCTCGGACTTTCTTGTTCTGGGTCTGCACTCAGACCGAGGCGGAGAGTTCTCCTCTGGCCTTCTGCGAGCCTACTGTTGTGCGCGAGGCATCCGCCAGACCTTTACGCTTCCGAACTCTCCACAGCAAAATGGGATTGCTGAGCGCCGCATTGGCATGGTCATGGACGTCGCCCGTACGTCCATGATGCATGCAGCTGCCCCCCATTTTCTGTGGCCCTTTGCGGTTTGGTACGCGGCGCATCAGATCAACCTTCACCCCAGGGTCTCCATGCCGGAGACCTCCCCAGCTTTGCTGTGGACGGGGAAGGTAGGCGATGCGTCTGCGTTCTGTGTCTGGGGATCTCGGGCGTTTGTCCGCGACTTGTCTGCGGACAAGCTGTCCTCTTGTGCTGCTCCTTGCGTCTTCCTTGGCTTCCCCCTTGACGCGCCAGGGTGGCAGTTCTACCACCCCACCTCTCGTCGTGTTCTGTCCTCCCAGGACGTCACGTTTGACGAGTCGGTCCCCTACTACCGCCTCTTCCCCTACCGCACTCTTTCCCTCCCCCCGCCACCGCTCTTCCTTGTGCCACGTCCCCCCCCGGTAGACCCCCTCCCCCCTCAGGGTCCTGCCCCTTCAGGTGTGTCCCATGTAGACGCAGTCGAGCCTGTCGAAGTTACTGGTGACTCTGGTGCTGCTGCGGGTGCTAAGCCTGGGGGTGTTGACTCTGGGGGTACTGAGCGTGTGGGTG